GCAAGGACGCTAGTAGGTTGGAGGCCATCGCTATTAGTCCAGTGTACGACTGTACGACTATGACAATCACTGTGATCGCCTCGTGTAGCTTGCGACCACGCCAGCGCATCTTGATATTCACTGTCCTTCAAGACGCGCAAGGACATGCCATCACTCGCGGTTGAAACATTTAGTTTGTTGCTGTTTGGAGTGAATCTTGTGCCCTTTGTATCCCTTTGTTCAACCAGGTCCTGCTTGTCTCATAGGGTGTCACACTGAGTCGTCCATTTTGCACCTGGCGGTGATTCAACTTGGAAACTTGGAAACAATTGTAGCCCTCTATCGCTCACGTGATCACGCAGAAGCAACATGCAAATTCCACTTTTCCATCGCTAGAGTAACACTGCTAGGCGCCGTGTAAGCCTGTTCCGCGTGTCGGTAGGCTCCTTACACAACATCCTGCACCGTGTCTGGCCCCTCACCCCGTTCCAAAGGTTCCTCCAGCAGTGAAACTGCTGAGTTTCAATTCAAGAAGAGCTGACTGGGTGTTGCCCAGCCATCTCCGGGGGGCTCCACATCTAATGTCTCGAGGACATAGGTGCAGAGCAAAACACAATGTCTTTGGACACTGCAAAAGTGCCAGTACAGCACCACAAGTCCAAAACTAAACCGTTTTGACTTCAAGGTTTCCGAGCCACTGTTGGTCCCATGTCAATGCTCAGATCGACGTGGAATTCATCACATGGCCTGAGATGGCATGCCATGTTTGTGGAGCTCTGACTGATCTCTCAAAAATCCAACAAAGGAAAGAAAAAATGTGCGACAAAATCAACTGATTTCTATTTATTTGCAGATCACTTGGAAGGAATGGCAACACACCAACTCTGCAACCACCTTCAAGTTCCCTTAAGGCGCAATGAACGCAAACCGGTATACCAATTGGCGAAGGAAGGGCGGGGTCAAAAGAAAACAACACCAAAAACGGTGCAACTTGACTGGTGCGAAGGGGCAGCGTGCAACCGCAGCCAACAAGAATAGCGATGGCCTAACGACGGCCTCCAACCTACTAGCCGATGGCCTCCAACCTACTAGCTACGAGCAATGGTCTCCAACCTACTAGCGATGGCCTCCATTCTAATAGCAATGGCCTCCA